CATGCTCTAAAGTGTGCACCTAAAACACAAAACACATGCACGGATCTTCAGAAAATCATTAAAGATGAGACTAGGTGGAAGTTCAACACATAAATTCGAGGCTGAATGTAGCCGAATTGTTATTGTACAATCTTACATCATAGGAAATGCAGAAATATTAAGACTTGATTTAGAATGACAGAAATAAAGTTCTTTGAATTTTTTGATTAGGCCTAACTATTTAGAATAAAACCATTATAAATGATTATATGAAAATATGACAATAACTGTATCCACATACAGTAATCCAATGTTACTAAATAGTAAAATGAACAACCTTAGTAAATTTTCCATTTTTTTCCTTAAAGACAAACAAACAAAAAGCAACAACAAAAACCTTAATAAGAATTCAATAAAATGAACAAGAATAAGAATTATAATGCATTGTTCCATCCATAACACAGAATGTAAACCTAGAATGCTATAACATTTACTTAAAAATAACTTTAGTCTTGGCTTTTACAAGATAATATTTATTAAGTAAAATAATTTGATTGTTTATATATTAGCTCTTTAAAAAATACAACTATGTTATTGTTATTGACTTATACACTAATTATAAAAATATGTAAGTATATAATTTTTTTATAAATATGTGTAATAAAAATCATTCATCAGTGTTCATTAGAAGATAAGATTTTTAAAATGTAATTTCTGTTACAATTTCAAGTTAACCAGGTGTGTTACCCGCTCCAGGTAAGATGCCAGGCGGTCATTGAGGTTCTGCATTGTCTGCTTCTCATTGCCATGCAGCGTGACCTCATAACCAGCCGTCGTCAAAGATGAAGTGGACAAAGATCTGGAGATGCGGCCACCAAAGCCCCCAGCGCTGCCATAGTTTTGTCCACCAAAAGACAAAGAGGCCCCTGAACTCCCCACTCCGTTCATGACCAGTGCACCAGAGGAAGATGACCCGAGCACACTCCGAGTGGTGAAAGTCTTACTGCTGCGACGGACCGACATGGCTGAGTCAGAAGATCTGTGCAAGTTAGGATGTCCTTCAATGTCGAAACTAAACACCTAAACTAATTTGCACTAAAGATTGTCTTATATAGCCCTGTTGCATCCCACACGGTGTCAGATTTCCAGTTCCAGTGAATAGATGGAATGTGAGTAAGACCCGCCTGTGCCCGGATGCAGATTAAAACCATTGACTTCAAAACCTGCTATCACACCCTTGACCTTCCAAAACCTGTAAAATGATTTCTGGCTTAGAGTGATTACATCTTTAACTGTTTAACTGGTGTATAAACTGATTGCTTGTATTGGACACGTGCCAGTTCAAAATATTAACAGTGGCTTTTATGAAAAGTTATAACTTTTTCTTCTTTTAAATGCAGCCATTAATTATACACATCCATGTGACACATCTTAAACCCATTTTCAGATGTTTATTTATTTTGTGGATTCACCACAACATTCATCAGGTTTTGCTTTGGCATTTAGGTAATATGACAAAAATTGTTCTTTCTCAAGCTTGGAACAAAAACACACTCAAATGGCATGCATCGGAACAATAACCATCACTCATGATGAATGGATTCATGTGTCAGAATGAAGTAAAAACACATCTCTTAAGTACATTTTCCCCCATCAGTAGCCTAATGTCACCATCTCTTGAAACGTACAGATGTAACCCCTGATAAAAACGGATTAGCTGGTAGAGTTGACAGAGAGGGGATATAGCTGTTGACTTTTTAAAAATGGGTGAATGGTAAAATTCATAGGAAATCAATCATGCTTTCAAACTATTTTGACTTCTACTGTCAGAACTTGCATGCAAATTCATGAGGCTCGACCCATTTCAAAGAAAGTATTTCACTCGGTGGATTTTTACTTGTAACAGCATGTATCCCCTTGGTAGATTTCCAAAAATCTGTCACTTAAATGCATCTTTCTTTTGAGTAATGAAAATCATTTGTCTAGAGTGTCATTTTAAAAATGCTTCAAATATATTTTTCAAGGTAAAATATATTTATGGTATCATTTCCTGTTTTTTTTTTAATCTTTCCATGTTGCTTAGACCACATGATTTTGATTTTGCAGACACAAGCTTTTTAAATATTAATAGTGAAAGCGATTCTGTTCAAATATTTATTAGTTCACCTAAATAAAAACTCTGCCATCATTTACTCTCCCACGAGTCGGTCCAAACCTGTATGACTTTCTTTCTTCTGTGGAACATAAAAGAAAATGTTTTATACAATGAAATCCAGTGGTAACCGAAACTGGTTACTGATATTCTTCAGAACATTTTCTTTTGCCATACATGTTTGGATCGACGTAAGACTTTCAGTTTGTTCTTCATTCTTGTAATAAGGCTTTTAATTTCAGAACAGGCATTTCATCCTGACATTTATTACTTAATGCTCCCCAAAAAAATATCAAAATGAAATTTGATGCTCATACAGAAATGGTTTGCTTCAGTCATTAAATGAGAACTGAATAGTTAATGTGTTTTCCACAAATTCATAGATTGGATGAAATGTGATTGCCATTATATCATCATTAACCAATGCTAAAGATATGGAAAGGGGGAAAATGCTCGAATCGAGCAGCATCTGATGTCATATACCTTACAGACCATGCATTCAACGGTGGACTGGCTATTGTTTGTTCACCTCAGACTCACACGCATATAGTTTGAGTTCTTGAGTAAAATCTTTAGATACATAAAACTAATGGTCCTGAGAGGAAGCAACAGACTCCTCCTCGGCAATAAAATCAAAAGTTTTGCGTCACAGCCTTTCTCCACCAGTTCATTTGAATCAATAATGACGGTTTTAAAAAGGTCACATTGATTTCACATCATATAATATTACAATAGGACAATTGATTAGATGAGAACTCGGATGCTGACATGAATAAAAAATCCACTGCTAATTCCTTTTTACAGGTCAAATTCATTGTAATGCTGTTTCCCATTATTTAACCGCTACAACTTTCCTGACAGTTTGGTTTTGTAATGCTAGCTATGTTAAATTCTCATAAATAACCATTGAATTTCGCATGTTCAGTTTACTGCCATGTCTGACGTATTCTGTTTAAACATGCTCCTCCTCCTGAACAATTATCCAACTCCATTGATTCACACCTTTTTTCTTTTTTTTTTACCTGAACATTTAAATATAAAGGGACTGACCTGTAATTTTGGAATACAAGGTTTTATCCTTACACTGTTGAAAACCTTTCTGGCTCAGGACTAATCAGGTAAATCTGATTTTTCTTAAATATCCATGCTTAAGAAATCATCTTGAAAAATTAAATGTTTAGGCTATTTGATATTGTAGGTAGTCTAAACTGGTCTTTAGCTGATTCTTTAGTCTAAACTGGTCTTTCTGATTCTTTAGCTGGTATGAAGCTGGCAGACCATCTTGAATCAGCAATGAACAAGCCACCAAGTGGTCATTTTAGCTGTTTCAGTTAATAACCAGCCTGAATCAGCTAGAAACCATGTACCATTTTCCAAATCTGTTTCATGCCAACATCTTAAATTGGATGTCCAGCAGGAATGTGGGCATTTTTATTTATTTTTGTATTATAATTTGGCACCGACACTTATTTAAACCACTTGTTTTTCACAGAAATGATGGCCAAGTGCGTTGTATTGACCGCTTTAGCGATGCTGGCGGTGGCATGTGTGGCCTCTCCTCTGTCCAAAGACGCACCTGCAAACACAAAGGCGACGGAACGGCTGCCGGAGAGACCACCTGAGACACCGGAGAGACCGCAGTCCCGTGTGAGTCGTTCCGTGCAATTACCGGAGGATCAGCGAGAGCTCGTGTCCCGGCAGCTCTTACAGGCACTGTCAGGTGCGTGTCTCGGGAGGTAAAACATTAGAAGAAACGAAGCCTCACTCTTACTTGCTGTTCTTCGGTGTTTTTGGCAGAAATCATCCAGCGGGAGGACTGCGTTACAGATTATCAAGGCTGGGTAGATTTTGGGCGTCGGAGTACAAACTGAGATTTAACTGTAAAAACTCTGTACTATGATTTTTGTCATTAAATATATTTGCAACTATATGTGTTTTGTGTCATCTGGGTGCGAATAATTTGACTCACGTGTGATAAAGATGAAGACAGTCATACCAGTAGCCCACTAGCCTTAAAAATGCTTTTTTTATTGTAGGCTACATGGAGCGGGTCGCCTCTTGGGGATAGCGATGTTGAAATTGCCAACAGAATACTACTAAGTTTCTCAGTAACCATCCCGTTATTGCACACAATTTTTGCAAAAAATTAATCAATAATGGCTGACTGCAAATAAATTTTTACAATAGCATTTGTAACCGAACTTGCTTTGTGTGAAACCACTAGGTGTCAGTGTACAACTGTAACAAGATTCACACTGCGTTTTCAGCGTTAATAAAACTATCTTTCCGTCCGTAGCTGTATCTATTCTAGCCACAACCAATTTTTATCCACCTTATTTTGCCCGTGGGCGCGGCCATTTGTAAATTTTATGTGGCGAGGCTTCCTGTGTCATTGGCTTCCAGCTTTTTTTAGCTGTACAAAATGCTCGTTTTGCTGCTTGATATTGCAAACACCATATTATTATTTTTTATGTATTGTCTTAATAATGAACACAACCGTTTTTACGACACTTGACTTTGTTATTCTTCTCGTTATTTACAAACCGGAAGTCTTGCACATTTACAAAAAACGGCTTACTTGCACGTAGAAAAATAAGGTGGATACTCTTAACTTAGCTGTTAAAGCTGTCAGCGTAAATAGAAACAGTTCACACATAAACAAATAAAAACATATAGGTCAAAAATACACTGAAATCTTTATTGCTATACACAATATCAGTGCCTGAAACTGTTACTTGTGAACTCATGGGCTTTTATGTGAGGCTAAGTGTGTAAACATTGTTCTAATGTAAAAATACAATGATTACTCCGCTATTAGCCTCTAATCTTTGTGTAAATTAACAATACATAAATGTTTACTTTTACTGACTTTTTTTTTTTTTTTAAACAACACTTTACATATTTTACAAAAATGGCTACCAGGCATTGTGTTTTACACAGAGTGGCATTTCAGGTAGACATTTTTATTTAAATATATTACTTTTTAAATAACCATTTTGTCTGAGACTTTAGATCAGTAAATACTACACCTTATCATGCCCCTTTGAAAATTTCAAAAGCATACAAGGCTTTCTCCATATACAGATTACCATATTTCTGTTCACTTGGTTGACAGACACAAGTGGACACAATGGAAGATGTTGATGGAGAGGAGAAGAAAACAAAGCTGTGTTCAATGAATAATCCTGTGATACAAATTCACCCCTAGACGACTCTGTGTTAGAATTACCCGATTGTGTATTCACAATTTACGGCTCTAGAGCACTTAACTTTATTACTGCATCCATGATTCTTGCAAAACACAATCATATACATTACAAACATTACGGTGAAAACGTGTCTGTGGCATTAAAGTTGCATGACATACGTGTGTGCATGGTGTACCATCACATGAGGTGTTGCTGCATTAAAGCACAGTGAAAATAAAGCACAAGATCACTTCTATTCACTCAACAAGACTATAATGTTCCCTAAATTGACCACCAACAGTCATCATGAATACAGCTTCTAATTTTTACAGCATTTAGACTGCAGGTACAGTACATAACCTCACATAATGTACCCTGCATTCCTCAAGAAAAGGGATTTGAATGCCCTGAAAAGTGCTATTATGAAGCAAAACGCACTACTGACACCGATGCTTGGTTGGCAGCAAGCAAAAATTGAGGCCACGTAGTGCATTTTTCTGTAGTGCTGCTACAATTTCATAACAATAAAACAGTGATTTCAAGACTGATAGTGACAGACAAAGTCTCAACAAAAGAGGACGTGTTAAAAAGTCAACATATGTACAGCTATTCCCTTCTGAAGAGTGTTTAAAACACCCTACAACAACAATGATATTAACACAGATGTGTTTGACTTCATAATTTTTTGAGGTGCAGTCCATACTTAAAATTCCCAGTGCCAATAAGAAGTCACTACAGAAATAAAAACTTGATATGGCTTGCGGAATATCCCATTACAAATGGGAAAAGTTTAGCTGCATGCCACAATGAGGGTGATGCACAAAATGGCACCTTTAATGGTGAACGTCTTTTTGTGTTTCATGGTGGGGCTGGTTTTTCTTTTCCACCAAAATCCACAAAGCCTCTGGCAACCACTTTGTACAGGCCCAGGCTTCTGAGTTTTTCCACAAGATTGACGCTGAAAATGTTTCCCTGCCATTCCTTTTCTCTTTTTTCTTTTTTCTTGTTCACTTCCATCAGAGCCCCGCTATGTTTCCTCGGAATATGCGGTGGCTCTGTGAATGAGAGGGGCGTTGGGATGAATTGCAGCCGAGATGCCGTGCTCTGATACAAGTTGTAGCAGACCGAGGGAGGAAGTCTGATGGAGGTGTGACGTGGACCCAGAGATGAACTGGAGGCCTGATGATGTCCTCACGTGCTCACAGCTCCCACAAGCGGATGCACTGCGGGGCCGAAGGCTGAGGAGAGAACAAGGAAGATGTGTGTCAGATGGTACTCAGCCAAACCATGCCAGAAATAAACAGGCCAGAACACACGTGTTAGTGAAAGCTTTTTCGGTTAGAAACACACAGCATATAGTGTATGATCATGCTGATGAATAAAAGAATGTAATGATGAGACTTCCACAAGCTGGTTAACAGCATATAAAGAAAGGCTTCAATGTAGCATGCACAGTCTAGTGTTAGCGAGTCATTCTCAAAATATGACATTTCAGTCAAGATTTCAAATATTCATGAAACCCTGCATAAGAAGGGCTTTTTCATTCTATAGCGTTTTAATGATAATATAAAATTGTTTACGTTTACATTTTACAGTATAGGTATACTTTACATATATGTTATATATACTATTTAATGTCTCTAGTGTTGTCAATAAACGAGTATTCTGAATATATATATATATATATATAGATATAGACTGGTGTTCCAATCCATGTTTCAATCATATAAAATAAAATAGTCCAGACTAGTAATGTGAAGATGTTAATGAGTACTTAACACCAACTTTTTTGAGAATTAAGCTGAATTCATAACCAGCATTTTTTGAGAATGATCTTACTACATTAACTTCCCCCAATAAAACATAACCTTAGCAGAAAAGCGTTATTTTAAAACAGATGTGTAATGCATGAGACATGCAGCTTTCTCACCTAAACCTAAATCTGTACAGGAGAGAAGACAGAATTAGTAATATAGTGTCCTGATGCTGTTATGCTACGATGTTTTGTTTGTTCATGAATGAAACCTAAGGTTAGAGAGAAAGAAAGTTAGTGGATAGAGTTAGCAATTTGACGGATCATCCTAGTAAAGGGTTCAAAGAGACCATGCCTGACATGTCTTACTTTATGGAGGACGACATTATAACTGTACAAAGAGCCGGTTCCAGCGCTTCCTGTTACAGACGGAAGGAGGGAAAATGAGCAAGGAAATACTAAATATTAAGATAAAGGTTTGTTGTGAACAGATAAAGACATTTCTGATATTCCTCCAAGTGCCTAATTTAAATTGTTTTTAAGTGGAAAAATTAGGGCTGTCAATTTGACACGTTAGACGTGTTAAATCGACAACGTCTGAACTACATGACTAGAATTCAAGACATGAGGGGAAAAATTCCCCTGTATTGGTTTTTTTCTTACATTTATATCCTATGATAGTTTAGCAATGTCACATGAACAAGAGTGCTGCTTGTTTTCCAAATATCTGCACAATTGCAAATGTGATATTGATTTTATACAACAGTTCAATAAACAAAAGTTAATATTGTGTTACATTTTAGACACAGTATTACCTGGTTTTGCTAAATTTTGCCAACGAAAATAGTTCCATTAAGCCACAGCAGAACTGTCGTGTGATTCTGAGCAACACACAGCAGTGTTTTGTTATTGAACGAATTAACGTTTTTGAATGAATGACTCACTCATTAAGACTTGAGAGCTTGAAAAGGTCACAAGATGAGGTCATACGCTAATTAGCATATTCACAAGTCATTGGGTCATATTGCTGTTTATTTTTATTTTAGCCTCTCTGGGCTCACATACCGAGCCAAATTCTCAATAAAACTGTTTTCATTTATATATTTTACTGTTTCTGTTGTCAGACAATGGGATAATCATGAAATACTGACTCAAACGCAGCCAGTTAAGACTCTCCTTTCCAATATGTTAATCTGCACTAAAATCCTGATTTATAATTGAGGCGTCTTCTGATGAAATCAAATACACATAAGATAAAGACAATGCCTGCGCTGTAATTTCGGCTATATTTGCATGTAAAATTAGCGTTAGAAGCAAGAGAATATCTATTTTAACTGAAAGCGCTGCTCCTCTCAGCCGCTCACTGAACAGACCAGACGCAGATAGAGGAAAAGCGCTCGGAAAGTTCGTGCGGCAGTACCGACGAGTCTCAGAAACGAAATAAAGTTTGTCCAAGTAGTCGCTAGATTTGTCGCTAGGCACTTTTTTGGAAAAAAGTCGCTAAATTGGCAACACAGATTAAGACAGTGACTTGCTGCCACCTACTGGTGTTTTTAGTTAATAAATGTGCCATATGTAGAATTTTAAACCTACAAGTAAGTGTATTTTATAGTAGCTGTAACTGTAAGTGACTATCCTAATGGGCTAATCAAAATATAATGCAATTAATCTGTGCTTTTGTTTTTATTTATTTTCATTTTTAGATTAGTGAGTTTAACTTCTGCTTTAAACAGCATTATTTCTGTTTTTAGATTGTAATGTTACGATGTTAAAATGTAATGTGATTTTAGCCCATTTTTCCACATAATACATAGCATAGCCTAGTCAAGTCACCTTTATTTATTTAGTGCTTTTAACAAAACAGATTGTGTCAAAGCATCTTTACAGTATTAAATAGGAAAATAGTGTGTCAATAAAGCAGAAGGACAATAGTAAACACTCAATTTTCAGTTAAAGGCAGTTCATCATTGAATTCAGTGGTGTCATCATCCAGCTCAGTTCAGTTTAAATAGTATCTGTGCAATCAAGTCGACAATATCGCTGGAAAATACATGGTTACATTGACTATATTTGTTTTCATAGCTTTTAATATAAACATTGTTTCACTGGACAACATTGGGCAGGATGGAAGTTTATAAAAATAAATATATGCATTTTTAATCCAAATAGAAAAATGTAGAACATACCAAGATATATACTGTTTGTCACAATTTGGCCCAAAAATACAGAGATATGATTTTTTTTGGCCTTATCGCCTAGGCCGAGTAAGAATTGTCTTGTTTTATGCATGTGCCCGATAAAAGAAAAAAAACAAGAGTATTCTGATGGATGATTGACAGTCTTATAATAAGCACTGTGTGGGCACCAGCGTGATCATGTCTTACCTGGTGGAGAAGGAGGAGAGGAGGACGGAGGGATGGAGGATCTGACAGCTAGTGGTCGGAGGTGTGGGTGAGGTCTGAGGGATGTTAGGTCCGGATGAAGGGACTGCATTCATGTGAGGAAACACAAACACATGCTAAGATTCAGCTATGCATGACAGGTACCTACAGCACTACACTGAAGGCAGGGTGGATTAAAACCATGATAATACCTAGGAAGCAGAGCTGGGTAGTAACATGTAATCTGGATTACATAATCAGATTCCAAAAATCAAGTACTCGTAATTAGAGTATATTACTTTTTCAAATCCTCATAATCAGATTAAAGTTACTTTTTTATGGATAGCATTAATTATATGGGCTTACATTAAGCCCAGTTTGAGAAACCCTGGTTTAATGTAATGTTTAATACATTTTATGAGGATGATATAAAAAAAATTTAATGTATTTTCTTTCTCTTTGCTTTTTTATATCAATATGGTACTTTTAATAGTAAGTTTAAAACAAGCCAGATAAAAAAAGTAATCTAAATCACATTACCTAAAATGAGTAACTATGATTTCATTACTAAGTACATTTTCATCATGTAATCTGTAATCAGTAACTGACTACAGTATGTAAGTAATCTACATTAGTATGTTAAAGAATATATATGTGTGTGTGTGAGATATGATTTTTTTTGGCCTTATCGCCTAGGCCGAGTAAGAATTGTCTTGTTTTATGCATGTGCCCGATAAAAGAAAAAAAACAAGAGTATTCTGATGGATGATTGACAGTCTTATAATAAGCACTGTGTGGGCACCAGCGTGATCATGTCTTACCTGGTGGAGAAGGAGGAGAGGAGGACGGAGGGATGGAGGATCTGACAGCTAGTGGTCGGAGGTGTGGGTGAGGTCTGAGGGATGTTAGGTCCGGATGAAGGGACTGCATTCATGTGAGGAAACACAAACACATGCTAAGATTCAGCTATGCATGACAGGTACCTACAGCACTACACTGAAGGCAGGGTGGATTAAAACCATGATAATACCTAGGAAGCAGAGCTGGGTAGTAACATGTAATCTGGATTACATAATCAGATTCCAAAAATCAAGTACTCGTAATTAGAGTATATTACTTTTTCAAATCCTCATAATCAGATTAAAGTTACTTTTTTATGGATAGCATTAATTATATGGGCTTACATTAAGCCCAGTTTGAGAAACCCTGGTTTAATGTAATGTTTAATACATTTTATGAGGATGATATAAAAAAAATTTAATGTATTTTCTTTCTCTTTGCTTTTTTATATCAATATGGTACTTTTAATAGTAAGTTTAAAACAAGCCAGATAAAAAAAGTAATCTAAATCACATTACCTAAAATGAGTAACTATGATTTCATTACTAAGTACATTTTCATCATGTAATCTGTAATCAGTAACTGACTACAGTATGTAAGTAATCTACATTAGTATGTTAAAGAATATATATGTGTGTGTGTGTGTGTATATATATATATATATATATATATATATATACTAAAATCTTTTTGGATCTGAAGTGTTTTGGCCACTTCAAAAATCAAACAAACTGAAGAATTAAGAAGGAAGTGTGTTGCTGTAGGTGATTGGGCTCTTACCCACAGTGCCGTGCAGGAGGTTGGGGAATTTGGAGAGATCAGGCTCATCCTCCTCGAGGTCGTTGAGGGTGTAGACATGTTGGAAATCCACGTCCAGCTCTCTGAAGTCTTTGGTGAGGACACCTGGCCGTGGGTGCAGGATGCCCCCAAGATTGGGCTTGGCCAGCTGCTGCCATTGGTGCAGAGTCACAGAGCCTGTGGACAATGGCAAGATGAAGTCAGTCAGTAAAATGATCTTTCATTATTATCTATTTAGACTAAAAAAAGTTTAATATCCACACTTTCCTGCTGCATCATATTTGATATGCTCATTTCTAAGGCATCTAAATTATGACCAAGATCAAAACTTTGCACAATCTACTATATGCATTCTGTTGCCTGACTAATAGTTAGGACTTTTTAGCAAGTAAAAGGCATTTTTGAGTAACTCTAAAATTGTTTTTTAGGTTGTGGTTCATGTGTCTTTTTGCTGCAAATCTTTACTGATTTTTATAATGTAAATGTAAGAATAACTTTCTTATACTCACTTTCTAACCGATATACTAACTGAAGAGGACAAGGTATTTTTCAGGCATCTGGAAATAACTTTCTTAACTATTCTTATTAATATTTTTAGATGAAAATGTAAATTTTATTAGAATGATTTTAGAAAAAGTATTTAATAATATAAGTGTTAAATATGATACATCAGGCTTTTGATGAACATTTATTTGTTCATCTCTCATCTCATAATTGTATTGAATTGAATTATATGTTTCACCCCCACAATAAAAACTACAGAGCTTTGATCATAAAACTAAGAATATAAATATCAGACATATTATTGTATTGTATATTATTGATATTATTATATCATGACAACTGATAGTTATATGGATTTTGTGTAAGCAGTGCTATATTGTTATAAAGATCTCATGTATTTAAAATACAAGCTATCAGAATTTCATTTCACTTTTTGACCACATAAATATCAGCAACTGCACCAAATTGCATATTTTTGGTCAGTTTGGGCCAATGAATAAAACTGAGATGTTTTTCCTCCTTGAGTCTGAGCTCCTATATATCATACTATATGAGTCATAAAAGCCTGATGTATCAAATATGATACTTAACAAAAACACATACTCAAACCTTCTTTTTTGATTTTTCTAAAGGTTCAATAAACTGTTCCATCTTTAAAATAGTTTTTTTCTGACCATTATTTCAAATATCTGGCTTTACAGGGATAATATTTGAAAAATTTTCATCCACCAAAAATTCAGAAACATGATAGGAAAATACGTGGTAACATGATAGGAAGAAACATAAACCAGGAAATGATATCATAGAGAGGATCCTTGCATGACTTTGCAAACGTAAATAAAATATCCCTTATTTAATCTTTATATGACATGGCAATTTAGGTTGTAAAATTGTGCAACTCCCCTAAAATGTAATTTTTATTTTATTATTTATTCATTATTTCATTTTTAAATTTGTATTTTGTGGTTTGAACTAGTGGTCGACCGATATTGGGTTTTTTGACAGCCGATGCCGATATTTAAAAAATGGCAAATATCGGCCGATATATCGGTCAACCACTAATTTGAACAGCCCTAATTTTAGAGTTGATCTAAACGTCCCTCTTTCATGACTTGTATTAAGCTATACGTGTGTGTATCTACTGACCCTCCAGCGGCTTGACTATCTGCAGCCGTTCAGGCAGATACGAGCGGGAGGAGCCTGTGCCTGAGGAATGCGTGGAGGTGCCGGAGTAGTTGGTTCCTGTGGATGCGACGCTGCCGTTGGGAGTCAGGAAGCCGCTGGAGCCGCCGCCGCTGCCGCTGCTTCCACTCTGCAGGGCACGCAGTTTCCTTTCTCTCTCCACCTCGAAGAACGGCTGCTCGGACGTGTGCCTCTCCTGACGCTCTGAGAGAGACTGGAGCGCTTCCTCCAAATCCTGCCCACCTGGCGTACCTGGCTGGCCCAAACGCTTCGACTCCAGTAACCTATGCAGGAAATATGTTATTATTCATTGTTAATCGATTCATTCTTAATAGTCAGTCATTATTGTGAGAAGTTGAAAATAAACAGACACTGACCCATGATCCTGTGTGTGCGTGGGAGGGGAGTGCTTATCCTCCATGTTGACACTAATATTGTCTGATTCGTAATAACTGGTCCGTGGTGTACTGATTCGACTAGAGCGTAATGATGTAGGGCTCGAACCCGGAACCTGCGGAGAGTGAATCTGGGAACGTAGCCGAGCCGCCTGATTGGCCACTTTCACGGTCTCAAACACCCGCAACGGATGATTCCTGCACAGAGAATTCAAGACAAACATGTCATGTTGCAGGGTTATATAGTACATTTACATTCACATTTATATACATTATATACAAAACATGTTAATTAGGCTTTGAATAAACTGCAAAAAAAAGGAAATCACAATTTTTGTTATGTTTCCCAGTAAAATATCTAAACGTTAATACAAAATATGTTTAGGCTACTTGAAATTCAAAATTATGTATAATAATACTTTATTTAAGAATGGATGATTTTTCTATAAAATACTATAATATAAAGAAATTCAAAATATATTTCTGTCCAAAAGTTTTTCTGATGTTTTTGATAGAAGTTTCTTATGCTCACCAAGGCTGCATTTATTTGATAAAACATACAGTAAAACAATAATATTGTAAAATATCATTACAAATTAAAATACCTTTTCTATTTTAGTATATTTTTAAAAGTACTTTTTATTTGTGTGATGGCAAAGCCGCATTCCTACAGAAATCATCCTTATATGCTGATTTGCTGCTCAAGAAATTTCTTATTATTATCAATATTCAAAACTGTGCTGTTTAATTTTTTTTATTAGATATTGTGATTTTTTTATAATTATCATTATAATGATAAATATAATTATCATTATAAATTTCACTATAATTATCTTTACTGTTATTTTTGATCAATTTAATGTGTCCTTGCCGAATAAAATGTTTCATTTCTTTAAAGACAAAAAACGAACTGATCTCAAACTTTTGAACAGTTCTATATATCCTTCTGAAAATCTTACACACTTAATATATTTTAAATGTTGTAAATATTTTTTTTACAGATCTTTCGATCTCAGTTTTACAGATCTTTAGATATTTTTTGAAGGTAAAACAAAACAAAAATGCTGATTACACTTTTTTTTTGCAGTATATGGACAGCTGTTAAATGTACTAACTTGTATTCAGTGGGTGCTGGGCTGTCTAGGCCTTTCCGGAAGGTTCCTTCAATCTCAGCAGCAAGTGAATCCATTGGGAGGACTGCTGCCAGGGTGCTGTAACGCTGCACGGTGCTGTTGGGCAGACTCTTATTGCGCAGGTTCTTAATGTCCTCTCTGGCCTCATGGAGCATGTCTTCACATTCTGAGTACCTCTCCTGCAGTTCCTTCAGCTGCCACCAGAGGGAGACAGAACATCATCAATTGGCACTCCAAGCACAAAGCCATTTACTGAAAGGGAGGCATATTGTGATATTGTGAGGATTGTACCTCTGTTTTAAGCTGTGACTGGGATTCCCGGGAAGCATTCAGATGTTGCGTTAACTCCTCATTCTCAGCAGTGAACTGAATTTGGAAGCAAATTTGATGTATTTGTTTATAAAAATGTATTCTCTAAACGCTGTGAAACAGAGTAAGCATGTGTGTGTTTGTGTGTCCAACCCCTTTGCAGCGCTGCTCCAGGTCGACAATCTGTCCCAGGAGGGCACTAATCTCCTCTTGTTGTCTTAGCGAATCTTCCACCTTCCGGCCTAATTCTTCTGACAGAGATACGACCTGTTTGTTTACTGTAGCTGGTGAGAGAAAAAAGCAGAGGATACTTTAGTCTGCTATCACAAAAACTTATTTGAGATACTTAAAGAAGGGCATCATGGGTGATTTACTCACAGAGTTCGTCCACACAGACCATCATAAGCCGTTGCTCTTGTTCCTCATAACTGTTCGTCTCAAATGTTAACTCGTTAGCCTAAAAAAAGAGTGATGGGTGTGAAAACATGAAACTAGTTGTAGCACAGCATTTTGATATTTTTTTGTGAATGCATGCATGCATTTAAACACACCTCTGTGCGCAGTTTGAAGTTCTCCTCTTCTAAACCCTTGAGTTTCTGTTGCAGCAAGTCGTAATTGACGTAGTTGCTGAGAGATGAGGACGAATCACTCTGTATAAGTCTGAAGGAGGATGAAACACTTATCAGTATGGCAGAATTAAGTAGTTGATCACTGTGTGTGCGTGTGTGTGTAACTCACAGCGTTTCTGAGGCATGCTCTATATCTTCAGTGTTGGCATAGAAGTGCAGGAGATCGTCTCTCATGGAGAGCTCATGACGCAGCTGGGCAATCTGTAAGAACAGACCCAGAGTCAGCGTTAGCATCCATATAACACAAGACTCTGAGCGCATCAACATCTATTATAGCATTAAGAAGGACACTGTTAGTAAACTCTATATACAGTATATGCATAATATTTTTCAACATTTTCATTCAAATGCAAGACAGACAGACAGACAGACAGATAGATAGATAGATAGATAGATAGAATGAAGGACAGATAGATAGATAGATAGATAGATAGATAGATAGATAAAATGAAGGACAGACAGACAGATAGATAGATAGAGATAGATCAAATGAAGGACAGACAGACAGACAGACAGACAGACAGACAGATAGACAGACAGACACAGACAGATAGATAGATAGATAGATAGATAGATAGAAAATTAAGTATAGACAAGGATTAAACAAGCGAAAACATTTTCTTTTAGCAATAATCACCTCTTCCTTGGTGATTTCCAGCTGTTCATCCAGTAGTTTGTTGCGTTCAGTCAGGGCTTTATTCTGCTTGAGCAGTGATTGGCCAATCCTGGCTGCCAATTCCAGATCGCGCTCTTTCTGCGGAGGAAGACGAGCATGTGCGGGACTTTTATTATGTCATCACTGAAGCATCAATGGAAGAAGAGTGGCATCATTTCCACTAACTAGTTTGTTTGGAATTGTCTCTCACCTCCTCAAGCAGATGTGTAACTGCCTCAATGTCATGATACGTCTTTGTGATTTGACCAACTCTCTCTGCGCACAGCACTGCGGAGGGAAAAAAAGATACTGAAAGGAGGAACGTGAGAAAGAGGCTGTTGAAAGTTGGCTAATGGGTTCATGAAACAAAATCTAATAAAAATGGAAGTAGATTTCAGAATAACGTCACTGTATGTGTCCAAAAAACAACTCCTCTGATCAAGCACTGCTTATACAAGTGTGATCTGTGCAGAACTACATTATACAGCACTGTAGAGTCAATGTGACCCAACCACGACTAGACAGTTAAACAGAGACGTCTATGCAGTCAAGAACAAGAGCCTCTTAGCAGCCTGATCCTCATTAAGGGTTAATTCTCTCAATTTCATCCCTACTCATAAATACTGCTCAGGCCTGGATTTACAAACACCTTCCAGACCAGTGATTCCCACCAGCAGGCTGCAGGGGGTACACTTTTCTTTTATGAAAAATGATTACAAATATTATATAATTAATTGAATATAATTTTTTTTTAATATAAAATATAAAATCTATTAAAATAAAAAAAAAATGTGAAATATAAATATAATTTTTTTACACGTCATATTCAATAAATGTCTTTAAAATGATTTTCTTCTGTCTTGTTTGACAAATCTTTAGAGACTTTTATTATAAAATAAAACAAAAGTGCTGATCAAAATTTCTGCTGAATATGAATAGCTTTTTCAGGTTCCAGAGGGTACTTTTTTTTTTTTTTTTAAATATTAAAACATAATACTATTAACTATAAATACGTATATAAATAAATAAATGAAGATTTTTTTTTGTTTTTTTTTATTACTATTTTTTTATCAGTTCTATTTAAAGGAAAGAAACCAAAAATTTAAAATAAATGTAAAATGTAATGTAAATGTAAATTTAAAAAATTTAAAATAAAAGTTAGGGTGCTGCTGTCAAATATGGATACTGCTTTCTGTTCTATTCTTTCTTTTTTTCAGTAATATGTGCAAAGCACTACCCTCTACATAAGTACATTATATTTTTCTGCTGTTTTCAGCACAGGTATTTTCACTTGGTTGGTTCTTGCCTTTCCCTGAGGCATAATCAAATTTCAGCTGGAATGAAACGTGTTTGACTTTGCTAAAATAAGAGCTTGGCAGCGGTTCCCAGCTCTGAAAATGACAGCTTAGCTCCGCAGAGACTACATTAATAAAGCTCTAAACTTCTACACTAGAGACACTCAAATGCACTGCAAAAATGGCTAAACGCGAAAAAATTCAACACAACCGACCATATTATTGTACACAGCCTGGAGAGCAAATCAAATGGGCCTATTGATGTTATATAGTATTATAGGCCTATAGTATTTTGAAAACCATCAAGAACATTATAAAAAAGGAAATAAGAAAACAGCAAAAATGCAAACCAACTTAAATACAGGTTCGCTTGGAATGAAGACAATCATGGGTTGCGCACACCACTGTGTGTTTTGGCTGCCGAGAACATGAAACCGCTGAAATTCAAGACATTCAGAAACTGAAACTGTCATTTTTGTTTACTTTCTAACACAATGAACGATTGTATTATTCATATCCATCATCAAATCTGAATCCTGAAGCAAAACCAGAGTGGTAGACAACGCTTAGTGTCCGCATGTGTCCTTTCATTCATTCCTGGCCAGTGAGAGAGCCGCTGCTAAATCTGCTCACCTGGCCCGAAAGGAGTTCAGTTCTGCTGTGATTTACGTCACTGAGAGAATTAAGGACATTAAGGACAGTAAGACAGTAGACTGTACTACGTGAAACTGGACTGAGCTTCTGCAGGCAGGATAAAGTTACTGGACAGATCAAAGTCATTTAGCTCTCGTGGAAAGACGGGCAATAAATCCAATATCCTTCAATGGACCGAACAGGAAAGGAAAGATAATTTTTTTGATTAAAATACAGACTAGATACAGAAATAGTTCATAATTTGTTGAAAAAAACAAAAAATGACCTTGACTATATATATATATATATACATAGTATATTTATATTTCATGTTAACATTATATTTAT